TTCGTGAAAAAATATCAGCTTAAGTTCAAAGTATAATAAATATCACAAGCCAATAACATTCAAAAGCCAATTTATCTCTTTCTGCCCTCTCTTGTCTGCATCTCTCTTCTCTCATCTCATTTTCAATTTGTTTTGTAGATGTCTTAAATCTCACTTACATTTATGACATTAAGATCGACCCGTTGCTGATCACCGCTCTTCCCCCACCCACCTTTCCCCCCTTCCCCATACAATAAAAGAGGACTGCATCAGTAAGCTCATATCTATATCTCTTCTGTCATCTCACCAGGAGTTTGTAAATTGAAAGTGGGACCCCCAAATATATATTATGCTTCGGGCCCCTATTGGACAGGCACCACCACTGCATCGCCACACGGGGGAAAGACGGGACATGGGAATGAATACTGATCCGCGCTCCAGAGCAGTGTGAATGCCAGTGATGTCCCTCGCATATACGCCAGAGTTTTTTTTTACGGCAGCGGTGTCGCGAGATTTATTCGTATTGATTTTCCTAATGCCTTGCTGGGGGGAATGCTGTAGCGCGGTGGAGAGCCGGAGAGCCCAAGAGGATTTGTGTTGCCACCGGTGGCAGAGGAATGCAGCAGAGAGAGAGAGGTCATTGATTATTCGGAAATCCCTCACAAAAAAATGTAAAATACCCAATCACTTGAGTGAGAAATAATGAGAGCACAGTTCGCTATGTACAGTGGGAAAGAATATCATTATGCATACGTAAAGGTGCAGCCTTGAAATGACTTCCTCATGGCACTGCTGCTGGAAGGACCTCTGCTAGAGAGAGCTCTCGAGAGTACATCCACAGGGTTATTTTTGCCTACTCTTCCATGCTGGCCAAAAAAAATTATTGTAAGAGGCGGGTCTACCCCACCACATGCCACCTGCCGATCGACTCACTCTGGTGAACCCATTCAGACTGCTGGGTGGACAGACGAGACGGGGGCATTTGAGAAAAACGCTCACCGTTGTTTCATCTGCCATGCCGGGAATTTTTTTTATTTCACCAGGTAAGGCCCACTGAGCTGTATAGCTTATATTCAGAAGCGACCTGGCCACAAATGATAGCTTAACAAAGTGGCTTATCACGTGGCAATGTATGTCAGCCAAATACTCTAAACGCATGTTTCCAAATGTGGAGGGAAAAATCAGAGGACCCGGAGAAAGATCCACGCGACCACGGGGGTAGATCATGCAACAAAAAATGTCCACGTGATAAAGCCATTCTGTTGGGCTTTTCATTTGTGACCGGGTTAGCTTCTGAGAAAGAGCTACAGTAAACAGCTTAGTGGGGGCCTTACCTGGTCAAATAAATGCAGTTTAATGTGCGAGTCCGGTGTGGTAACCGTTACACCACGAAAGCATCCCCCACACATGGGTCTCCACCCACAAACGACGCGCTAATAATGGCTCACACACCTGGTGGACCTGCCAGAGGACTGAGATTGAGTGTGCGAACATTGGTGGCTGGGGATTCTGTAATTAGGGGCACGCGCGTGCACCAGCAACAGCGGCCTGGCCGGCTCCTTGCGATTGATATCGCGGTAACGACCCGGCAAAAAAAAAATACCCGTGCATCGCTAACGAGCCGACCTGCGCGTGTTTTTTTTGTTGTTGCAATCTCAACGCGTGCGTGCGCTTGTAGGTATCGATGTGGGGGACAGCGACGCTGTCTTTGCTTGACACGGGGGAAAGCCCTCAGATTCCCCTAATTCTACAGCAAGCAAGACAAAAGATTCCCCGTGTAGCCTTCGCAGACTGCAGGGGCAAGTGCTGTTAGCGAGCACCTGTGGAGTGCCGGCACACTGCACGAGGGGGCGGGTGGCCAACACCGCACCCGGCCGCTTTTGTCTCCCCAGTGGCGATGTTGACACACCGCACCAGGTGCTCATTTGAGGCTGAGTCGACCTAGGGGAGGCCCAGGACCGGCTGAGATAATCGTCACCGGTGTTGTCCACGAGCGGGAATTGAACTTGGGCCGCCAACACACGCACGTTTCGTCCGGACTGTCCACACGACACACGTGACAATGAGCGCAATGCCATCATCGTCGTTTTTCAAGCGCCAAGCGACGTACATAAATGTGTAACGCGCGTCATTTCACAATTATGTTAAGGATTTGCAGGAAAAGGAAAGTGGAAGTGGAATATGAAAAAATGTGCGGTGTTTCTATTGCAACTGTATATCATCATTTGTTTCCATTTTTATGGAATGTTAATAATTACGTGGGACCGTTGACAAAACTAAAGTGGGCTCGGGCAGGACGCGTCGCCCGATGGGACGATGGTGGAGACTAACGGTGGACCGGCGGTGTGAGCACAAGCGAGTGGAGGTCCTCCAACGGAGATGGAGTGATGGAATCGGCTCGTGTGCAGGAGCTGCGCGGATTGTTGCAGCGCGAAACCGCAAGATATGCCGACGGCTTGGGAAGGCCTTCATCCAGCGGTGGATACACAGTGGTATTTTATTGTACAAAAACGAGAAAAACGTAATCTATTCATGAATAAATACGCATCCTATCTCTCATAATGCCCCACAGCTTTCTGGAGATGCGATTGCACTCAGATGTTTACAAATCCATATTGTATTGCTCTGCTCAGATATCTATTTGCATTTAAATATGTGTCTCGGTTCGTCCAATTAAACGCGTAAGTGCCAGCGTACGGGCCCACCTGTCGCTACGCAGTGGTGCAGAGCGAAAGACGCACACTCCTCAATAACAACAGCCTCGCAATAGCGGCACATCTAGAGCAGGTTACTGATTACAGGAAATGGCTCAATCGGAGCAGCAGAGACACAGAGAGGCAGTTATTTGTAAGGCAGCGTTTGCTAACGACGGATGCGTTGGGGTTTTATTTTGCTACGCGATTCCCGTCTGCAGTTACGTGCGCGAGAATACAGCAGCCGTGCCAAAGGATATTTCTGAATATTTGGGCCACCCCACCGTCAACTTTCTCAAAATCGTACCGGGAGGTGTAATTTTCAAGATCATTATCCACGTGGCTTCAGAAGCTACGGGCTGGCTCATTTGTGGCACAGGTTTAATGGTTTCGACAAATACTGTCGCGTGAAACTGAATGTGCCAATCTCCGCCATCCCCCAATGCGGATAAGAAAATAAATTCGGTTCAAGTGAGTCGGTAATGCATCGACCGTTTTCTATCGGCATTTACTCCCCTGTCAAGAAAAGGTGTCAAAATACAAAAAAAGTGGAATTACAGTCCTAATTTGGTGACATAATATGCCGAGGCAAAAAGCAACGTCACGGTTAGCACGGCTGGCTACGTACGGTGCGAAGGAAGTTCGACATACTGTGTTGATGAGGACCTCCCCATGCCGTACAGGCCGCCGGGGATAGTTGACCACACTACACGACGCTGGTCGATGTGGATTGGTGAAGATGGGGATGCGTAGAGATGTTTGCGCACAGAAAGTACAGTAAAACAACAGATTTTTCTGCACTGCACTCAGCTGACAACATAGTCCCGTAGCAGCCTATAACACCTTTTGTTAATACAGGCTGGTCAACCATCCACGCACTTTAAGAATAGGTTTTTTTTGCCCTTTCTGGCAATAAAACAGGTGTTAAGATATTCTTGGTTCTTTTGGTACAGTCACATAGAAGGGAAACAATACAATAATAAAAAACAATAAATTGTATTGTTTTATATTTTTATTATTTGATTGTTTCCCTTCTACGTGACTTTACCGAAAAAAACAAGAATATGAATCCCTGCAGTCACGAAAGCTTTAAATCAAAATGTAGGTGTTAAGATGTTCAAACACCAAACAGACGCTTTTTGCAAGGAGTCATGCCTGCATTAACCTACAACACGTTGTAGCTGCTCACCCCGAGCTATGAATGCCCTGATAGTGGCAATGTCTTTGTGCTGTGTACGCCTTTTGGCGTCCTCTGGTCTAACACTGATTGAGACTAGGCCCTAAAGAAGGCTGTCTCTGGTGTCGTCCATTTAGTTTCAAAGACAATGCATCATCATATACTACCGGAGCATGTTTTTGTTTGCACGTTCACCACAAGTACTGTGTGTGGTTAATGCAGACATGACTGCTTGCAAAAGGATTCTGTTTGGTGTTTCAACATCTTAACACCTGTTTTATTGTCAGAAAGGGTAAAATCTCTTCTTATACTTTAACACTGTCAAGAAAGGTCCCATGTCATCCAAGCACTGTCTGGACTCAAACCTGCGTAGCTTCTGAGCTTGGGCACATGCTGAGTAATTTAACCCGTTCCCAAGTGTCTGCAAGTTGCAGGGTGGGTGTCCCGTTCGCCGCCGAATCTCGGAACGCGCAAGCGGTTCGGCATTAATTTTATTTAGGGAGGCGTAGCGCCGTTGTTTTTAAAGACATCGTACTCGCTCGCCACAGAGAAAAGTAGCGACACGACCGCATTCTATGATATAGCTGGCGCCAAACTGTGCCTCACGCCCGGCTGCTGCGTGGCCTTGTGGGAGCCTCGGTACCAATAAAGTTATTTTTATTTTATGTTTTCTTCACGATTCCGTTCCGATGACGTGCACGCTCCTATAGCCTTGCTGAGTTCATGAACTGCGTGCTAGTTTCTTTGTCTGCTGTACTATAATGTAATGCTCTCGGCCGGTGGCATCTTCGCATTGCCCATCTTGAGGGTCTGTGTTTAGCATCTGCGACAACATAAAAAGTAAAGACTTAAGTTAAAAAAAAAACCCCTAGGTGCCACGCGCACACAGACGGCGCCGTGTTTTTTTTTTGTTCAGGCTCCTTCCGGCCGTTTAACGTTTTTTTCCTGCTTTGCGAGCGCCAATTCGGCCGCCCTCACTCCGCCGGTTTTTTTGGCATCGTCGGTTGCGAAAAAACAAGCGGACGAGATTGCTCCCCGTGAGTGAGCTCATCAAACAAGCGGACGAGATTGCTCCCCGTGAGTGAGCTCATCGTGCCGCGCGTCCCACCACCCCCCCCCTCCTCCAGCGAGCGTTTGCAAAGTTCACTCACTTCTCCGTCATGGCGATTTGTTCCAGCATTGCCGAGCCCGTGTTGGCCTTCCAGTTCCCCGAGATGGAGGTCCTCCTGGGCAAAAAGACACGGGGTCAGCTGTTTTCACTCACTCAAGTCCCAGTTCGTTCGTTCGTTCGTTAACACGGTGACGACGCGCAGATCGTTGGTTGGGATTCTTGGGGATTCTGTAAGTGACCACCCCCCCCCCCCCGACCAACCCCATCGAAGGTTCGGACAGCCAAACTAAAGCAAAGTAATGCCGCGCAGACATTCACATACACAGCACGAGGGACGGCAGTGAAGTATGGTGCAACATTACAAAACAATTACTTTGGAAGAGAAGATCATCGTCAATAATGATCAATCCATTGATGAATGAATGGGCCTTCCCAAGCCACCTCCATCTCCTCACAGCACTGTATGTATGTTGAACTTCTTTCTCACCGTATGTAGCCAACCGTGCGAATCGGAGGTGCGGGGGAAAGACAACAAACTTAACACAAAAAGCAGTTCTAAAGAATTGAGTTTTCAATCTAGATTTAAAAGTGCATACATACATACAGAGAGGTTTTGCTCGTTTAAAATCAGATGTAATAAGTCACATTTATGTTACCAGCATATAACAGCAGCATTGCTGTTGTTGACACTACCCCGATTACACATCTTATCTAGTATATTTAGTATCGCAATTAGGTATATTTTTTGTTTGAAACAACAGCTAAGCCTCTTTTAACACTAATTACATACAGCAAACAGCAGATCTTGAGTCTATATGCAAATTCTTCATAAATATTTCCCCGCACATTAAAAAGCACCACGGGGCATATCTACGGGAGCATTGTTGGTAAAGGCGTAGCGCTGTCATTGCTCGCTCACACCACTGCTGGTGGAAGGACCGCCACTAGATGGAGCTCTTGAGATCCCCCTCGAGAAGGTATTTGGTCTACTCTTCCACGCAGGCCAGGCGTCGTGGAAGACGTGGAAGTTAGCCACACGTTACTGCACCGCACATGACCTACCGATCAACTATCTGTGGTTGAACCCATTTACATTTCTGGTTGGACAGAGGCAGTGGGGGAGGGGCGCTGGTTAAGAAACTCATGCCGTTGTTTCAACCGCTGTGTCGAGCGATGGATTAAAAACGGCGGCGACCTCTGGGTTTCAAGGCCGGTGTGCGGACCATTGCACCGTGACCTCTGGGTTTCAAGGCCGGTGTGCGGACCATTGCACCGTGACCTCTGGGTTTCAAGGCCAGTGTGTGAACCATTGCACCGTGACCTCTGGGTTTCAAGGCCACTGTGTGAACCATTGTACCGTGACCTCTGGGTTTCAAGGCCAGTGTGTGAACCATTGCACCGTGACCTCTGGGTTTCAAGGCCACTGTGTGAACCATTGTACCGTGACCTCTGGGTTTCAAGGCCAGTGTGTGAACCATGGCACCGTGACCTCTGGGTTTCAAGGCCAGTGTGCGGACCATTGCACCGTGACCTCTGGGTTTCAAGGCCAGTGTGCGAACCATTGCACCGTGACCTCTGGGTTTCAAGGCCAGTGTGTGAACCATTGCACCGTGACCTCTGGGTTTCAAGGCCGGTGTGCGGACCATTGCACCGTGACCTCTGGGTTTCAAGGCCAGTGTGTGAACCATTGCACCGTGACCTCTGGGTTTCAAGGCCAGTGTGTGAACCATTGCACCGTGACCTCTGGGTTTCAAGGCCAGTGTGTGAACCATTGCACCGTGACCTCTGGGTTTCAAGGCCAGTGGGTTTCAAGGCCAGTGTGTGAACCACTGCACCACGGCAGCATCCCACGTACCAATAAGTACCAAAAAAAATATGCTCTGGCTTACTGTAAAGTGTATTTTTCCCCTCCCAATGTGGAATGGCTTGCCAGCAATCCGACAAAAATGTTTGCAATGTGTAGGTCTTGGGTGGGCGGAATGCGCGTGGAAGAATGCGCTTTTCTTTTATTGCTACGATGACGCATGGCCCAGTGGCACGGCTGCCCTGTTGTGCTGAAGCTGGTTTTCCCGTCGTTTTATTTCAGAGTGTAAATTAAAATGTGTCCGCGTGCATGCGCGATGACTAATGCACGTATGGCCTTGTAGAAATGAAGCGTAAAAAAATTGGCACGAACAAAAAATGTTGTCGTGAGGAAAAAATGCTTCAATGTCTTTTGTTGCGTGGCAAAATCACATTGGGATCAAAAATGAAATAATGAGGTAAATTAGAGCAGGCTGAAGTGCTTTTGAAAAACTGAACGTAAGTAATGCCAATGTGTGTATGTAAGATTAACTTCTTTCGCACCGTACGTAGCCAACCGTGCGAATCGGGAGGTGCCCAATGAAGACGGTTGCTAATCAGCGTTATAACTCCCGCTATGATGTTTGGATCAGAAACATGGAGACGGACAAAGTTGAACGAATGTCGAGAAGTGCTGCTCAAAGGAAGCGTTAACGGAGAGGTGCACGCTGGGAATTTTACTCGGACCTGAAAGAGTAAACGGCGTGGTCCAGTGAACAAATGCGTGCTAGAGAGACCACATTGACTGTTACGAAAAGTTAAGCGGGCTTGGGCCAGGGGACGTCACGAGGTGGATGAGGCAGCATTGATGGGCGAAACGGGTGATGGAATAGCGGCCAAAAGGAGAGAATGCGTCCCGAGCGGACGGCCGCCACGGAGATGGAGGGATGACATAGAGGGGTGTGAAAGGGATGACATGGAGCAGTGGTTCTTAACCTTTACTGCAGCCTTGCCACCCTTTGGTTCTCAATCATTAAAACATACACATGTACAATACTCATACATACATAGGGGTTGATGAAACAAAGTCATACTTAGGTGACCGTGCTTCATTTGCGTTTCGATTATTTACCTTCTTTATAAAAATCTGGCCATGTCTCTCACCCCCAGGGGGTGCGTGAACCCCCATGTTAAGAAGCACTGACACAGAGGGATAGAGGGATGACATTAACTCGTGCGCAGAACTGAGATGAAGGCCTGGGTAGGCCTTCAGCAGTGGATAGCCAATGTCCCATGATGGTGATATGGATGACAATTCAGTAATGATTACTAACAAAATACATATATCTGCTGTGTTTATCTATCTCTGTATATTTTTTTTACCATTGGTTATTCTTCCATTGCTCCAAACACTATCGAATATACAGGGTGACCCAATTTCAAAGCACTATATTTCACGATGGCAACATGTTACAATTACACAAAAAGTTACAAACGGTTTAATAAATTATCAAGTTTTACTAACGATTTTATAAATGCTCTACGTGCCCTCCACCTGCTGTACGGACAACATCGAGACGATAGTTGAATTCGTCCCAAACGCCTCTCAAAGTGAAGTCTTCTTCCACTGAAGTCACCGCTGCCGTCATTCTGTTTTTGAGGTCATCCAGATGGGTCGCTAATGGTGGCACAAAAACACGGTCTTTGACATATCACCACAAGACAAACTCGCAGGGTGTGGTGATGTCTGGGGGTGATCTTGGGGGCCAAGAGTGTAGCGCCAGGTCTTGGGGTCCCGTGCGACCAGTCCAACGTTGAGGCAGTGTTGTCTTGCGAATGACTAGGGGCTATTTGTGCGCTGGGAGAGGCATCTAGCGGTAATCATTTGAAACTCTATGCCCCACCCTTTCAAGTGGTAAGAGTTTCATTCATGGGCCATTCGTGGTTGCAGAGATATAGGGATTTCAAATCGGGTCAATTATTTTGAATCACCCTGTATATTTGCATTTTGAGCCAATGTTTGTGAGTTTTGTCAGTGGTGCAGTATTTCAAGCTTTTCCTCTACAGCACTGCCATACCAGTCCCGGTCTGTCACTTTATCCATCACTCATTCACATTTTGGGGAGGGGGGAATGTCTTCGGATACATTAATTAAATTAGCTGTACGTGAAGGCAAAACAACAATGATAGATCATCAAACCAACCCCTGGCACCTCCGATTAGCACGGTTGGCTACGTGCGGTGCGAAAGAGGTTCAACATACATACTGCCTATCGACTAACACTACCCATAGACACAACACTACCCATAGACTAATACTACCCATAGACTCAACACTGCCCATAGACTAACACTACCCATAGACTCAACACTACCCATAGACTAACACTACCCATAGATTCAACACTGCCCATAGACTAACACTACCCATAGACTAACATTGCCCATAGACTATCACTACCCATAGACTAACACTACCCATAAACTCAACACTGCCCATAGACTCAACACTTCCCATAGACTAACACTACCCATAGACTCAACACTGCCCATAGACTAACACTACCCATAGACTCAACACTGCCCATAGACTAACACTACCCATAGACTCAACACTGCCCATAGGCTAACACTACCCATAGACTCAACACTGCCCATAGACTAACACTACCCATAGACTCAACACTGCCCATAGACTAACACTACCCATAGACTCAACACTGCCCATAGACTAACACTAACCATATACTCAACACTGCCCATAGACTAACACTAACCATAGACTCAACACTGCCCATAGGCTAACACTACCCATAGACTAACACTACCCATACACTCAACACTACCCATAGACTCAACACTACCCATAGACTAACACTACCCATAGATTCAACACTGCCCATAGACTAACACTACCCATAGACTAACATTGCCCATAGACTATCACTACCCATAGACTAACACTACCCATAAACTCAACACTGCCCATAGACTCAACACTGCCCATAGACTAACACTACCCATAGACTCAACACTGCCCATAGACTAACACTACCCATAGACTAACACTACCCATAAACTCAACACTGCCCATAGACTCAACACTGCCCATAGACTAACACTACCCATAGACTCAACACTGCCCATAGACTAACACTACCCATAGACTCAACACTGCCCATAGACTAACACTACCCATAGACTCAACACTGCCCATAGACTAATACTACCCATAGACTCAACACTGACCATAGACTAACACTACCCATAGACTCAACGCTGCCCATAGACTATCACTACCCATAGACTAACACTACCCATAAACTCAACACTGCCCATAGACTCAACACTGCCCATAGACTAACACTACCCATAGACTCAACACTGCCCATAGACTAACACTACCCATAGACTCAACACTGCCCATAGACTAACACTACCCATAGACTCAACACTGCCCATAGACTAATACTACCCATAGACTCAACACTGACCATAGACTAACACTACCCATAGACTCAACGCTGCCCATAGACTAACACTACCCATAGACTAGCACTGCCCATAGACTAACACTACCCATAGACTCAACACTGCCCATAGACTAACACTACCCATAGACTAGCACTGCCCATAGACTAACACTACCCATAGACTCAACACTGCCCATAGACTCAACACTACCCATAGACTAACACTACCCATAGACTAACACTACCCATAGACTCAACACTGCCCATAGACTAACACTACCCATAGACTCAACACTGCCCATAGACTCAAGACTACCCATAGACTCAACACTGCCCATAGACTAACACTAACCAAAGACTCAACACTGCCCATAGACTAACACTGCCCATAGACTCAACACTGCCCATAGACTCAACAATTTGCACTTGAAGTTTAGACTCAACACTGCCAATAGACTTAACACTGCACCTCCAATTAGCACGGTTGGCTACGGACGGTGCAAACGAAGTTCAACATACATGCATACTTACGTCACAAGAATAAACGGCGTGATCTAAACACCATTGAAGCCGCAAATCATTCGAAGCAAAAATAATTAAGCGCTTATGAAGGAACGGCTGCTTGGCATGCACGTAAAGACCACCAAGCCATTGGCAGTAGCGACACGGCCGTAAAAGCTCCCTTAAAATAAAAGCCTCTCTTTAAAAAAAAAAAATCCGAGTTTAAGCTCTGGCCAGCAGCCCTGCTTTTCTGAAACCCGTCGATAATTTGCACTTGAAGTTGTATTCCACCCGTCCCTAAGACGCACTTGTTATTGTCCGTTCTATCATGGGTTTCTAATTTCCCAGAGAAATTGGGTAGATAATTTTAGACCACTTCAATGGTAAAGCAACGCTTCATTTAATTGTATATGTTTGAAAGCATCCTCTGTGGAAATGTGCCCGCGCTGCTTGAAGTGCCCAGCTTGGCATCTCAGGATTATGCAAATGCAGCGATAAAGTTCAACGGGCCACCGTGTCCTGTGTGTTTCACCAACAAGTGTTAATTGCCTGTGGGTAATTACATGATCCACTTGGATACCATCACATCGTGATCATCATCATTATTGCTATCATCATCATCTGCATCATCATCGTCGTCACACAACAACAATGACTATACATTTTTATTTAAAGCTTTCGTGACTGCAGGGATTCATATTCTTGGTTCTTTCGGTAAAGTCACGTCGAAGGGAAACAATAAAATAATAAAAATATAAAACAATAAAATTCTCACGACGTTTCGACTGCAACACAAGCAATCATCATCAGGTGTGAAAACCACAGCAAGAAAATTAGAAAAAAATGAGAACATTTTTTATTTCTGTGGTTTTCACACCTGATGATCATTGCTTGTGTTGCAGTCGAAACGTCGTGAGAATTTTATTGTTTTATATTTTTATTATTTTATTGTTTCCCTTCTACGTGACTTTACCGAGAGAACCAAGAATAACAATGACTATAAATTTGTATTTAAAGCTTTCGTGACTGCAGTAATTTATATTCTTAGCTCTTTCGGTAAAGTCACGTTGACTTTACCGAAAGAGCTAAGAATAACAATGACTATCTTTAGGCAGTTTGGCTTAAGTGGGTTTATTAGAGCTTATTGGTCCGTCGCCAATGAATGCCACTTGGGGGCCTCCTTATTCATGAGCAACAAGCAAACCATGGCCCATCAGCGAGTGCCAGGGTTGCATCGCCCCTTTTCCCACCTCCTTTGGACGTCCCCGCACCTCAAAACGTTCAAAGTGTGGCTGCAACCGCCGCTCACACCAGGAACAACAACAACAACAACATGGTTCTGCAAAAATCTCTCTCCCCGCGTGGCTCGAGGCCAGCCTGGTGGCAGAGTTGAGGCGCGTTGCCTCGAACACATGCTGGCTTTTGCACATGACTCAGCTCGTGCGAAAGAGAAAAAAAATCCACAGCTAGGCCGAGTGCAGCTGTGCCCCGCTCCGTGGGCGGATGGCAAAAACAAACAAACAAAATAACAAGTTGGCGAAAATGATTGCCGCTGTAGCCCAGGGAGTGGCAGCTTCTCTGCAAGGTGACCTTATGCATTAAGAAAGGGGGAGCCTGTGGTGTGTTCTTAGACTGTTATGTTCCGCTTAGGACACCGAGTCGTGCCAAGTGAGCTCAAGGATAATGACTTGCATTTATAGGGCACTTGCTTGAATACTTCAGCAACTCAAAGCACCTTACATCAAATGTCATCTCAGAAATTCTGATTCCCCGCTGCAGTCTGGCCAAGGGGAACCCCAAGCAGAAGCTGCCCCCATGCGGCACAAAGGTGTTTGCAGTACCCGCCTGCAATTGAGTTTAGTCCACCAGTAACAAAGGTGGCGCAACCTCTCTCTCTGCAGATTGATATAAATTCTCAGGCGCACCATGCGTGCATTCAAGAATATAATGTAAAAATGCACGTTACAAAAACGTTACAAAGTGCTTAGATGTGTTCTGATCAACCGGCCATTTCATCAGATCAGGATCTCTGGTGCGACCACAGTTCGTGTCGGCAGGTTCCCCGAAACCAACTCCAGTGCCACAGCGTGATTTACATGGGTTTTGCTGCAAGAAATTAAAATGGGATGGCCTCCTGTCTAATTCCCCCCCCCAGCCCCCTTCTTCTGTAGGCCAAAGCCTGGGCCTCATCAGGCTACCGTGGGCCTCAGTGCAATTTTTACTGACTGCACAGTCAAAAGCTACACCGCTCGCCAAATTGCCCAGTGGCAGGAGACTCACATGTAGGCCTTGTAGTTGGCGCCTATCTTCTGGACGCGGATGTCATATTTCGAGTCGATGAAAGGCTCACAGGTGGCGTAGGTCTGGGCCATGGCGACCACGCCGGCCATGTCCTGGAAGTCGTAATGGTTCTCCACCTTCACCTGGAGGCACGTACAAAAAATCAAACGCCCGAGGTGGCAAACGATGTGAATCTTTACGTCTGTGTGCATATCCCGATGGCGTTTCAAGAAGTAGAGAGGCATTTGAATAAGTCTGTAACTTAGGTCAAGTGGAATTTTCTGGGGGGTAAACACGCATTTGATCCGAGTGGAAAAATCTTCGTCTCACGACACCGCGACACTTGCGTCACCTGCTGCGTACTTAATGTTCTATCACTCTGTGCGTGCCAATAGAGATCTATGCAGGTATTTTTTGTGTTCATCACAAGTATACATTCTATATGTAGGGTGCTGAAAATATTTTAACACTTCTGAGAATTTGTAACAATACCACAAGACATGTGCTGCCTCCGGGCTCTGGAGACCACCTGGAGAAGATTCCAGGCCACGTGTTCACAACGATGGCGAAGCAAGTGGAGACTCCTTGACTTTTTGAAGCTATTAACATACATTTGTTATCATGTTACAGTGTATTGTCCGTTTTGTTTTTTCATGAAAAACGATGGTCCCATAATAAGAATTCGCATTTTCTTGAATTCACCCTGTATATGTATATTCAAGACAAATATTCCCTGGGTAATGGGACAACGTTCACTTTGGAGGCGTTTTATGCCATGCGCAGGGCCAGCGGAATGTTTCGTTAACCAATTTGTGGACCTCTCTTAGGTTGAGAGTCTAGAATTGTCACGGTACTCTACATGGCATACGCATTAATAATCACGATCATTTACGGGCTAATTTATATCGCAAAGGCCCTCCCCATATGCTGCTGGTCACGAGGGTTGTTTGACTATACTTTCCCACACTCGTCAGTGCAAATTGGTGAACGGGGGTGGGGTGACAAGTTACGTTCCAGAACAGACATCGTTTACCACTCACGTTTTGCCATCGCTGGGAATCGAACTCGGATTGCCAGGTTCACGCGCACTGCGCTAACCACTGCCACATCTCCGTATGTTTTCCATTGTGTTTCCGTTGCTGTGCTCTGTCTGCGATGGTGGGAGAAGAATACCCTACGCGGTACATCAGCTAAGATGGACAAGCCCCTAAGGGATAACGTTATCGTGGGCACAATATTGACACACTCTTCCGCCTTCCATAGATTTGCCCACATAAAAAGCCGGTGACCGCATTGGCTGCCGTGTCAAGGCTGATTGACTGTTAGCAGAAAGCCAAACAGGGAGTAAGAGAGAGAGGGAGAGAGAAATTGGGTAGTGTAGTGGCTGAGTGAGTCCAGGGGCGAGCGAGAGGAGGCAAACCTAAAAAATCTGCCCCGCAGAACATCTTGAATGTGTGTTACATAACCTCCTCTGGCTCCTGCGTTCTTGCAATCAAAGTCCAAGGTTTGTCTTGGTCACTCAGTTATGAATCCGTGGCACTCTTCAATGAATGACCCGCTCTGTTCTCCGGGTGGGATCTTTTATCTTCAAAGTCACGGATGTCAAGGTCCAACGTGATATATATGTTTTAATATCGTCAACATCCCTCCGGGGATGTCGAACGTATAAGTACCACATTGTGGGGAAGTCAACAGTCGTTTTCCCATGGATATACTCGCCCCCGTTATAGGAACGTGGATTTTCCACTTTCTGGCTCAGGGGCTGTAAATTGGAAATAAAGATTCACCGCAATGCTCATTTGAGCAGGAAATCATTACGACTGTCGACTCGGCTCGTTGAGTCGATAGTCGCTTTTTTTCTGCCTCGTGGCAATAAAACATGTGATGGCAGTTATGGCCTCCTCGGGACTCCATCCCAGAGGAGTTTTTTTTTTTAATGGGAATGTCTTTGCGATGACCTAAGTCACCCTTAATGTGCCGGAGCTTGTCAGATCTCAGAAGCTAGGCAGCATTAAAGCCTGTTCATTACTTGGACGGCTGATCATCAGTGCACACCAGGTCTTCTTCTCCGTCGTGCCTTCTGTCCAACCTGTACGATCTTTCCCCAATATCCGCTTCTGGCGTTGGCATTGCCAAATCTTGAGCATGTGGCACTGTGGTGCTGCACACCAGGTGTTTTCGGCATACTGTGGGTGTGAGGGCTTTCAGGTGTTGTGGAGAGTGCACTTGCGGAAATGGATAGCAACCCACTGATAGATTTGTGTCCGCTCACTGGACTGAGTCCGTTTTTTTTTTAATTTAATCCATCTGTGCAAGAGTTTGACTGTGAATCCCATCGAATACATCTGGGTCCCCCCCCCCTCCTAGGTATTCCAGTTAATTCCCACATGCATGGCTAACTAATTGACATCAATGCCACAGATAAACACGTAACAGAATATGGATAGCAGAGAAACTCACGGAGTTTTCGGACCAAGGACCGAACGATGTTGACTCATTAAATAAAACCCAATCCATCTTAATGCTCACTGATACTAGAAAGGTATAAGTTTACATGCCCTGTGTGTAACTTGATCAAGCGCTGCGTCACTATTCTGCTCCCCTGCTTTGGCTGAGCACCGCAGTGGTCTGGAGGGTGTCTGCAAGTTCATATCCCCAATTATAATCATCAATCCACCCTCTGAGCTCTGTAAATTAGTTACTTTTTTCTTTCAACGAGAACCCGATACAGAGCATAAACCGGGGCGCCACGCGGGCCAGATGTAAAAATTCCTCGCCTGGTATACAGGAGGTCGTGGGTTTGATCCCGACCCTGAAGCCTGCTGGATATTTGGAGTTTGCATGTTCTCCCCGGATTTTTCTCCGAGTCCTCCGCTTTTTTTCCTCCACATTTAGAAACAACGTGCAGTTTAGAGTATTTGGCTGCTAGAAATTTCCACATGATAAGCCACTTCGTTCAGCTATCATTTGTGACCAGGTCGCTTTTGGAAGAGAACTACACACCTCAGTGGGCCTTTCCTGGTAAAAAAAAAAAATATAAAAAAAATAGTTGACTTTAGAGTTTCACTTCTGTGTAAATCCTCCCGTTTGTTGCCTTACATGTGGAGATCTCCCGGCGTGGGGTTTCCCATCGCCGCCTCAGGTGCTGCGACCGGTGACGGCACCGACCCCACGCCAGTTGTCTCAGCGGGACACCGCGTTCGCTTGCGCCGAACATTCCCCCGGACGTCGAGTTTTTTTTTGTTGTTGTTGCTCGGGGGTGATAGCGGTCTCGATGCCGTCGAGTGACGCCTTTCAAATTGTTCCGATTTTTATCGGTGGCATGTTTATTTAAACATTTTCCTTCAACCAGAGCCCCATGCAGAGCATAAACCGCGATGTGCGAGGAAGGGGCACAGAAACTCGCCGGACAAATATTCCAAAATCCATGCCCCCCCTCGAAATATTAGGAGCTGGAGAAGTTGAGCTTCACTGTCCCACCCAGGTTGGGCATCGGCGGCACGTTTTTAAAAATCTAAAAGTATCTATACACTTTGCAAGCGCGTGCGCCAAGCCGGTGTCGATCAGCGGGAGCCCCGGTGTAAGATGCAGAGGACGCACCTTGCCCATGCCAGAGTGAGCGTGGCCGATCTTAACCACGACCGGGAAGGTGGACGCAGTCAGCTACAGCAGCGGCATAGAGACACACAACAAAAAAAAACATAAACAAATAAATCACCAGCGGAACCGCAGAACGCATAAACATTGTCACAGAGACTAGAGATTAGTATCACGGCCTTAAGCATTCTTTGTTGTAACGTCTCTTGCTCCGAGGCATGTCGACGCTTCAGGGTCCCTCCATGCCCGCCGACGGCGCCTCTGCACATCACAGGCAACTCCATATGAAGGTTCTCGTAAACTCAAGTCGAAGGGTGCCGTGACTCCCTGCTCATGCAGAAAGCCAGTGGTGGAAATTCCACATTCCTTTGGCGAAGGTGAGAGTCTCTCCATGGGACAAAATATTGTTGATGCAAAAACTGGAACTCATTTTGATGATCCCCAAGGGATGATAGGCTGAGCTCTTTTATAACAAAAAAATGCCGAATTTAACCAACGTTTCACGGTTTATTTTCGATGTGTAGCATTATTTTAAGTTATATAACAATATTTGAAAAAGATAAAGAAGAGCAATTGATTATCGGTAGCCATGTTTTTCATAATGAACGTTTTTGGGTTAGATCGCGTAATTTATAAATGTATCGTAACCCTCCACCACCCGACATGGCCAATCAGCAAAAGATGTGTCACGTTGACAAAAGACAAAATAGTTCACTACGTTAGTCCACCGGTGTGTTGAAGCGTGAATCCACAACATTTTCCATTTTTATTTAGTACGACGTTTCGCTGGTAATTACATCCAGCATCATCGGGCAATGCTGGATGTAATTACCAGCAAAACGTCGTACTCAATTTTTTTTGTAAATGTTGTGGATTCACTCTTCAACACACAGGTGGGCTAAAGTAGTGAACTATTTGTCTTTTGCCAAGGTGGCACATTTTTTGCTGATTGGCCGTGTCGGGTGGTGGAGGGTTACGACACATTTCTAAATATCCATGTTCTATCCACTGCTAGATAAATGCCTCCCAAGCAACCACCACCGGTTCTCACAGTCTTGCAATGTAAACAATCCACCTGGCACCTGTGCACGAGCTGATCTTACCACTCCATCTCCACTCTAGACGTCTTCATGGGAGTGTTTTCTCCTTTGTCTGACACTCCAACGTTAGTCTCAACCACCAGCCATCATCCCTTCCAATGACTTGTCCTGCATAACCCCTTCCCGTTCCGATGACCTACACATACGTGTACATACGTGTACGTCATCGGCACGGGACGGAACTGAAAGAAAAACTAAAATAAAATAACTTTATCACTACCGAGGCTCCTACAAGGCCATGCGAGAGGCGTGTGGCACAGTTTGTCGCCGGCTATCATAGAGTGCGGTCGTGTCGCTACAGTTCTCTTCGGTGAGTAAAATGTCTTTAAAAACAATGGCGCTACGGCTCGCTAAATAAAATTAATGCGAACCACTTGCGCCTTCCGAGATTCAGTGGTGAATGGGACCCACCCTGCAACTTGCAGTCGTCTCGGAACAGGAAAGGTTTAAAGAGTTATCGAATTCATGTGGTCCCCTTCTTGATTCTCGGTGTAATTCTCAGAGCGTGCATATCGCTATGGATTGGTGAGTCATGAAGGGCTGTAAAAATATATATATATACCACGATGGAAGTCCACACTAGACGTGGAACCCGGCTTTCGTCGGGAACGCATTGCATCAAACCCGCACTACCATACGCCCACGAACTTCACACACATGTACACCCACTCACGTGCCCATGCGTAAGTTCCATACGGTTTAACATCCACTTCTGTGTTTGAGAAATGCCAGCATGACACAACGCTGAGTCATGCTACAGCAAAGGGGGAAGGTCATTTGACGGGCTAACGCATTCACCTTCGGCCGAAGCCAATTGCCCGTGCGTCGTTTTTTGTTTGCTTCCAAGCAGCAGTGCGCAACAGAGGTCAACGAGAGTGCAACCACGTCCAGACCAAAAACGCTTCGGGGGTGGGGGGGGGGAAATAGCGAAATCGCTGTGAGGCAATTACGTGGCACACCACCTTGAGCGTGGAGAAGTTACATGACCGCTCATTTACGGGCACAGCTGCGGACAAGGCGAAGGTTAAAGCGCTACGGCTCATCGTTTCTGCAAGTGGAAGCCTGGGCGAAACGAAACATAAAATAAAAACAGAGTTTCATTAATTTTCCAGCTATCTCACCCCTCACAGACACCGAACGCTGGCGCAAATTGTGCCCGCTGGACAACCGTTCGTGGGAAAAAAAAGAAGCAAACTACGCCCCAGCACTTGTCTCTCTCTCTTCTCTCTCACGAGGCCTCGTTTGTCTTCAATCTCCTCCCTGCACGCTCCCCGGGCACCACGAGCTGCGTGGGCGCGGCTCGCTCCGATCGCGCTGTCTATCTGTCTGGGTGCTTCTGCGACGCAGGGAAATGTTGACGATCGACGAGACTCTGACGGACGATGGGCACGGCGCTGGGCGGAGGGGACACACGGGGGTCTATTCGTTCATGTGCCGGAAGTCTCGCTCAGGACTCAATTAGCGAATTCCGAACGCATGACAAGCCAGCTGCATCAATGTCGAAGGAAACAAAACAGACTGCCGTGCGCCATGTGCCAAATTAAATGATTCACTCACGGGATGGCGGGGGGGGATGGCGGCGGGGGGCCCCGGAGGGGGGGGGGGGGGTCAAGAGGTAAAAAAACAAATCTGCAGGCAGCCGAGCACATTAGCGTGTGATCTAAATTGAAAACATATATTTTTTTTGTGAAAACAAAAGGGTCAAATTGTAATGAGAAGTCCTTTGAAACAGTCTGCCAGTGGCAAATTATTTAAAATATATACTGCATTAATAATCATATATAGTAATACTTTACAGCCCTTGGTCCATCCACTCCTGTCCATGTAATCAGGGTGAATGATGACTGGCTGCAAAGGGTGGTGGTGGAGGGAACGTTCTAAGGCGCAGGGGGAAGACCAAACGTCAAACATCAATCACTGGCGGGGATGGAAGCTGTCTTCTCAGTTTTAAACGATAATTTTTTTTATTTGTACCGCAGGAATCGGATGAGTTGTAAAACTCTTTTTTCTTTCAAGGTCATGCCCCAACGGCCCAAAGTTCCGAGGGATTATATTCAGGGTTGGGGAACGTCCGGCCCGCGGGCCGTATGAGGCCCACGAAATCATTTGGTCTGGCCCTGCCAAGGCAACCGCAGGCGGGACTCGAAATTCAATAACAGGCTAATTTTTAAGTTGATAATTTTCCAAATGGCCCTTGGCAGAAAAAAAGGTTCCCCACCCCGGTAGTTAGAAGAAGAACTTGTGGGTTCAGTTCTCTGGTGGTCCGAGCTCCAAGAGTTGATGAGGCTATAAACTCCGCCCCGGTATTTCCAGTGTCACGTGAAAACGCGTGCAAGTGGATTTCATTGAGAAACTGGAATGCCCTGGCAGTGGCTTCACCTTCAGAGCCTTCTCACACAGAGAGCTAGAGGCTCAAATTGAAACCCATATATTTACGTATAGTGGCGACCTATAGACTCACACAGAGACCCCATAGATTCACACATAGCCCAAACGGACTTGCATATAGGTCTATACATTGCCACAGAAACCCATAAACAGGAATGCTCACATGCACACCCATAGATTTACATACAGTAGCGACCTATAGACTCACGCAGAGACTCATCGACAGGAATGCCACTGGCAGTGGCTTCATCGTCAGCACTTTCGCCAACAGACTGGTGCCCGGTCTGGTGTGAGCCCAACACTGGTTCAGCATCCCCACCACCATCATCCCCACCACCATCATCACCGCCACCATCACCACTCGCTGCCTCTGTGTTCCAATGAGCAATGAGTCCACCGGCATCCCGCCATCTTGTAGCCGCGGGCTTTGCAGTTGGTACAAATCCCTCAACAACGGTATTCATTTGTCAAAACATACACGCCAGGCACGTAGCAATTGATCGTTTCTTCGTTAAAATGTACGATTATGATCACGATACGATAATTGAAGCATTTGTGAAATCACGGGATGCAATATGTATACGTATGTATACTAATATGTATACTATACGTCTACTGTGTATGCAAATCTCACCTTTAGGATAAGAGTATGAATGAGACAAAACATGGAAGGCTGGCGATACAAGTGAGACAGGGAAAACGAACAAAAATTGTGATAATTTATCAAATCGAATCGTGACCAAATAATGACGATTTACCAAATCCCCTTGGCGGAGGGATCGATGTTATCCAACACACACAAGCAACTTGTGTGCCGCTGACGGGATGCTTCCTTAATGATGCCCCGTCTGTAACAACGCTTCCCAGTAACAAGAGGCAGGGCTGTGAATGAAACAGACAGGATCCCGGCTAACGAAGCTGACAGGAGACACGGTGCTGATTTAAACAAAAAAAAAGGACTCACTTGAAGATATTCCAGATGCAGTTCGAAGAGATTCTGTTTCCGCAGGGCCTAGCTCTGTTAGGTGTGAAAATGCGCTGCACTTGGAGAGTACCGAATGTTTTTTTTAAATTTGTTTCTTTCATCATATTCACACTGGTCACTAAGAGAGTGTGAATACGGGCAACTGGACATGGGAGCATGGAAACACAGTACAACAATGGAATTTTGCTGCGTTCCTCTCTGCTGCCCATCACATAACCTCACAGCCGATAATATTTGTGATGTACGGTGGAATGCCCAGCCAAGGACTATTCGGTCTCAACCCTGCTTAGTTACCGCTATATGATGAGGTAGGGGGCATTTCCGAGTGATTTTGTCCATGACGTGACAATCTGAATAGATTTTAGAACGACCGTATGAGAAAGAAGCAATCAACTATGAAAGGAAATGCAATCAGGAGGGACCGTTTAGATAGATCCATATATAGAGAGGTTCCTACGTAGAACTATTGACGAGATTTGCTTTGGGGTGACCATGAGAGCAAGTGATGTAAAACGAGATCCCAGTATTGGTTATTGCCACTCCCAGTTTCCAGAATCAATTGCGGTATCGATTTGAGAGATATATATTGGACA